CTAACTAGATAGATAGATAGCTATAAAGAGACGGGAATAGATAGATAGATAGATAGATAGATAGATAGATTGACTGAAGACATTGAAGATAGATAGATTAAAGAGATTAAAGAGATTAAGATAAATAAATAGATAGATATGTAGAGATTGAGATAAATAGATAGATAATGAAGAGATTGTAACAGATAGATAGATAGATAGATAGATAGATAGATAGATAGATAGATAGATAGGAAGAGACTCTAAGAACACATTTAAGAGATTGAGATAGATAGATACATAGATAATGAAGAGGCTGTAATATATTGATAGATTGAAGAAATTAAAGAGATTGAGATATATAAAAGAGGTTGAGATAGATAACGAAGATAGTCTAATAGATAGATAGATAGATAGATAGATAGAGATAGATGAACAGTCTGAGATAGATAAATAGATAGATAGATATGAACAGACTGAGATAGATATATAGACAGAAATGAACAGACTGAGATAGATATAGATAGATATGAACAGACTGAGATAGACAGGTAGATAGATAGATATATTGATTGAAAACATTGAAGAGATGAAGATAGATAGATTAAAGATATTAAGATAGATAAATATATAGATATGAAGAGATTGACATAGATAGATAGATAGATAAATAATGAACATATTCTAACAGATAGATAGATAGATAGATAGATAGATATGAAGAGACTAGGATAGATAGAACACATTGAAGAGATTGAGATATACATAGATAATGATAGATTGAAGAAATTAAAGAGGTTAAAGAGATTGAGATAGATAGAAGAGGTTGAGTTAGATAACGAAGAGACTCTAATATATATATATATATATATATATATATATATATAGATAGATATGAACAGCTTGAGATGGATAAATCGATAGATATGAAAAGGACGAAGATAGATAGATAGATAGATAGATAGATAGATAGATAGATAGATTGAAGGCACTGAAGGGAAGAAGATAGATATTAACAGACTGTTATAGATACGAATTTATGTTGAAAGTTCACTGTCTAAAAGAAAAAGCACTGATAAAAAGAAGAAAGAAATCATCTCCTATTTGCTAATTTGGCCAGATTTACGAAAATGCTTCGTACCGAGACGATTCCAGCGCCTCCCTTCGTATATAAGAATAGAGATAGGTAGTAGGGTAGATATATGTGAACCTAGACAGATAGGTAGACGCTAAGAGTATTTCCATAGACACGTATGATGAAAATGAGACGTGTGTGTGTGTGATTGTAAGCGATCTTTGTTAAAATCTCTTTCGTTCGACAGCCGACCAGCCTGTTTGTCTGCACACGTGAAAAAGTTTCTCTTTTCTCTCTTTTTCTCCGCCTTGTCAATTTATTTTTTTGTTTGTTTGTTTTTGTGTGTGTGTGTGTGCCCCTGTACATCAGGTGATAAGCTTGAAACACATTGGTAGCAAAAATTTAAAAAAATGCAATAAAACAGGAAAAAAAAAAATCAAACTAGAGACAAGGCCGATGTGGAGGAAAGATACTGTTGCTACTATCAGCAAAGTAGACGCGGCCTCTGTCGTTCGCTTAGGCGTACGGTCCCCTCCTTTGATGTACAAAATGACAGTCTCAGATGGAACTGCTGATGCAGCCATGATTTGAATACACACACGCACATTGATTGTTAGTATTAATTCAAACGCGCTTCGAAACAAAACAGGATTTTTAGCTATTTCTTTTTCGGAGAAATATTTCTACATTAAATTTTTTCCGTGTTTCTCACACTTCATGATAGCTTCTTACATGGACGTCGCTTTTACCATTTCGGCCAGGATAATTTTGATATCTTTTAACTAAATTTCACCCAATACAAGCCCTAACAGGTGTTAGTAATTCTGTGTTTGACATTAATAGAAGAGGGGGATGTAGGTGTGAAATTTACGAGAATAGGGTGGCTAGATATCGATTGACGTTAGACAGGAAGAAATTAAGTTTGTAGTGTTCAGAAAACATCCACGTGGGAGTCAGTCTCACAAAGTAGTCCTCCTTCGAAGAAGATTTCTAAATAGAAGACTATTCTTACTAGAGTAACGCAGAGGAAATGATTTTTTTAAAAAACAGTGAACACAGCAAAGACGGGCATAGCTGTAAAGATTTTGCTAGTGGTATTAAGCCATCATATAAAGCATTTTCATTCTTATTACTATATTGACGGCATAAAAAGACGCATATATAAACATGCGTATATATATATATATATATATATATATATATATATATATATATATATATATTCATTAATGAATGTTTCATTAAATAATATAGACAAATTTTGTCTATTTATTTTAAGTAAGTTCCTTTCATATTGTCTGATAAGTTTAATCACATTATCATTGAAAGACGAAAGGAAAACACCATATTGATGCATGTTTAAATCCAATCTAAGCTTTCGGCTTACATAAGCCATTATCAAAGATGACAATTTCAATATATCAAACAACACACGGACGAAAGAACACTGATAGTCAGTCCTTGCTGCATGAAAAATTTCAAAGCAACGACAAAAACCGTGTATACGAGACGCGGAAGCGAAAATCGCGTTGCAGCTCGTGATGTCATATATGACCACGCGAGAGTGTTAACGAGAAGTATTAAGTATGGGAAGCAGTTGGTATAAACCAATGGCTTCTGTTATCAATTATAGGCATTTAAGTATATTTGTGGAGATTTCATAGTTTATTTTGTTCAGGTTAGGTTTCAACTGTCTTATGTATAATGCTTCAAGAATTTTAATATTTGTTTATTGTTTTCATGTTTAAGTATAGTTGTGTTGTCAACAAGGATGCGTACATATATATATATATATATATATATATATATATATATATATATATATATATATAATAGTAATGGACTCTCCCGTCGGTTTCGACGTATAAAGCGCTTGACGAATTAAATTCTGTTTTGAAATTTTGTGCGATAATCTTAAGTGGACCTTTATAGGATCCGCTAGTGATTTACAAACGAGGTCGCATATGGAGCAAGAGTGAAGATTGTTGAATGAGATCACTGTTAGATTGGCTGACATTTTTAGATTTTGCTCTCGCTTCTTGATGTTGATTCAGACAAACATATATATATATATATATATATATATATATATATATATATAGGCAAGCAGATATATATTTTTCTTAGTATCATTATTAAAGGAAGAACGAAAAGTACCATGTTGATGTATATCCATTTTATTTCCGAGTGCTTCCGACATTACCAATATATATATATATATATATATATATATATATATATATATATGGAATCATTAGTATACCAATGCAATATCTCATCTATTGAAGATTCCGACAACATAAAAGTTTTTATAGGTTCCACAAGCCACGAGTTCAAGAAAAGATTCAATCAACATCAAAGTTCATTTAGGATAAATAAATAACGAAATCAAATATTTCTGGCACTTAAAAGAAACCAATAAACCACCGACAGTAAACTGTAAATTAATAAGAAAAGCTAAAATATGTAGGTCATTAAATGACCCATGTCCTTTGTGCATACATGAGAAACTATATATTACTAGGTTATAAAAAAAATAAAAAATTACTGAATCAAAGAAATGAAATAGCTATTCTTTGCCGACATTGTCAAAAATTTTACTTAAATAATATTTTTTAAAAAAAAAAGCGAAGCTGGTAATATACATACTTATACATAATAAATGTTTTTAAATAATTTAAGTAATTCTATTACATTTATTCGTTTTAAGAAAAATATAATCTATTAGTAATTAAAAGTAAAAATAATATTTTAAAATTGTAGATCAATACATCGGATTCTAATCCAAACACCCGTTTTAGAAAGAATCTGTATGTATACAAGTTGAAATTTGACAAATAAAATGCTGAAAACCTTTTTTCCGTTGATAAAAAAACAGACGACATTCGTTGTCATAATTCGTTGAAAAAAGGCGCCCCTACCCTACCTAGACTTAACACATTTTTAAACGTAACTCATAAATGATACAATAATAGTTAATAAAAAAGAACACGCTGTCTAAATGATTGGATTTCTCTGTATCCTTGGAAACAAAAGTTATGAATGTATGTGCTTTTAAAAATTAGTTATTACAAAATTCGCTTGAAGATGAAACAGAACTAATGCTTTTAATTTAATATGATTTAATTTGAAGTTTTTGTTTTCTGGTTTTGAAACATGGTAATTCCTGTGTAACGATGAAACCATATTTTTAAATCAGTGAGTTTATAATATTTATGCTGTGTAAATTTACATTGAGTACTGTTTTGTAAAAATAAAAATAACAATAAGAACACCGGACTACATATCTTACTGTTCTTCTTTTTTTGTATATATATATATATATATATATATATATATATATATATATATATATATATATATATATATCCCATTTGTAGGAACCAATAAAACTGTCAAATTGACCAAGAGAATTCCGAGCAGCATGAATCCATCCAGCTCTTGTCTTAAATAACAACTTAAAAGAGACTGTTTGGCCAACACATGGACTGAACAAAATTCATGTTAAAAAAATAAAAAAAATAATAAAAAGACTAATGAAAACTACAGACAAAAGTTCGTTTTCTCCCTCAAGTCATTCATTCACTGCTACTAACAACAAGAACATTTTTTTCTCCTGATGATGGCCATGTTGGCCGAAACTAGTCGAGGAATCTAAATTAAATAATAAAAACGAAAGAATATTAATATACAACCCAGTGTGTCTGGAGATTTTAATTTTTTAATATTTTTATTTTAAAACCTATATATATATATATATATATATATATATATATATATATATATATATATATATATATATACGCAACCCCAGTCGGCCATTAAATTAATCCTCTACTATAAAAAATGTAATATAATCAACAACAACAGTAACTCACCTGAAAGATCCAAATTACAGAGAAACCAATACTACTTAAGAATTTACATGCCTCTTCAGGAATTGCGTTCCTGATCAAATTCATGTATCCATGAATATTGGCCATACCACTGCATGCTTATCAAGAAAACTCACTTGACATCTATATGACTCTAGATCAATTAGGACGCATTTTGACACACACGGAAACCTACAAACTCCTTCCGCAACATACACGTAGAAAACACGACTATACTAGCCAAATCCATATGTAAAAAAGGCTAAAAAAAGACCACAAAAGCCGAATGTGCTTTCTTAATAACCTGACAGTTGTAGCAGACTGTAATGCAATTTCGAAGATTCTTGAAATATATCAAATTACAATGATCTCGAAGTGGAAATTTTAAGAAAATGGCACACGAAAAACATTAATAATTGTAGCTGGGGTCGTGGGTTTGATCAGGAAAGCTTTGGATACATTAAATTAAATGGATCCATGACAGTATATCTTTAAGGAATGCCAAAGAATTTTTTTTCGTAAAGGGACAATTCATAGCTTACCAAGAGATTTATATAAAATGTGTATGCATTTTTATTTATTTTTCCCCAAATGTGTACAGGGAAAAGTTATAATGACATTTCATACCTTAAGTCTAAGGTTGAAACTAGGAAGGATATATGTATACGACGGAAATCAAAAGAAATAATATTGAAATCTTCTGAAGCGGCATTTCGGCTGAGGCTGTAGAATACACGGACTGCACCTCTGCAGGGAGGTAACCCCCCAAATGGGGCGTCCTGGGTGTGACGATGGACTGCATCCGCGTCCTGGGTGGGACAATGGACTGCGTCCGGCGGCAGGGCCTTTGATCGGGAGAATCAAAGAATACATACTCTATTCATGCGAATCTATCCTAAAAATATTGTCGGCATTAAATAACCCATTGAGGTTGATATGCCGTAAAACAAAATAAACCAAACCAAACTAAACCATAGAATACATATTCTATTCATACGAATCTATCCTAAAAATGTTGTCGGCATTAAATAACCCATTGAGGTTGATATGCCGTAAAACAAAATAAACCAAACCAATCTAAACCAAAGAATACATATTCTATTCATACGAATCTATCCTAAAAAATGTTGTCGGCATTAAATAACCCATTGAGGTTGATATGCCGTAAAACAAAAATAAACCAAACCAATCTAAACCAAAGAATACATATTCTATTCATACGAATCTATCCTAAAAATGTTGTTGGCATTAAATAACCCATTGAGGTTGATATGCCGTAAAACAAAATAAACCAAACCAAACTAAACCATAGAATACATATTCTATGCATACGAATCTATCCTAAAAATGTTGTTGGCATTAAATAACCCATTGAGGTTGATATGCCGTAAAACAAAATAAACCAAACCAAACTAAACCATAGAATACATATTCTATGCATACGAATCTATCCTAAAAATGTTGTCGGCATTAAATAACACATTAAGGTTGATATGCTGTAAAACAAATCAAGCCAAACCAATCTGATGGGTTTTGAGAATTGGTTAATTCGCATCTGTACGTTTTAGAGCTTCATAGTCGGGAAAAGAGTACTAAATTGTTACGTGGTATATGTCCTCCTGTATGTCAGCGAATCTACTCAAAGATGAAGAAGAGACGAAGCAAAAGAAATGTGGTTCCACTGAGGACGCCATGGACTAAACATGAAGGAAACGGCGAAGTTTTAGAAAAATAGCAAGAAGAAGGAAACTTATACTTAAGCTTAAGAAGAGACAGTTGGAATTTCTAGGGCACATAATGAGGAAAGAGGGCTTGGAAAATCTGATACTCACAGGACAGGTTGAAGGCAAGAAGGAGAGAGGAAAACAACGATTAAGCTTGAGTAAATGGTGTGCGGAACAGGGTTTAGGAGAAATAACAGAAAGCTAAAATTTATTAAGAGCTACAAAAGTAAGGATGTTGTGGAGAGCCGTGGTCGTCTACTTTCTGATTGAACACGGTATGTAAAGAAAGAAGAATCGGTACTTGATATTTGCCCAATTCTAGAGTTTATTCCATAGAAACTGTCATCAATTGTTTTCATATTTTTACTCTAGTTTGTTTGAATTTCTTAGGGCTGATTCATGTGTTTTTTTTTGTCTTCCTTGAATATTATGAAGCTGCTAGAATTTGCTGAAATTCTTTTATTTATACATATGGGTATTTGCCTGTAATTTTTGCTAATGTATGCTGAGTTGTTGTTTGGCGCGCGCGCACACACACACACATATATATATATATTATGAAATGGACAAAGTTCGACAATTATTTTAAGACATTTTTTTATGTTTATACATTCTTTTTTATAGATACAAATATTTAGGTAAATGCTCTGTTTATAATAAACAGTATTAACAACATTTAACAGCCTGAATGTCCGAGAAATTTTCATAGAAAATATGGGTCCTCTGACAGGAATCGAACCTGTATCCTATCCGGAACCGTGATATAGTCTGACGTGCTTTACTGATTTAGCCACAGAGGAGCGTTCGGTTAGCAAGGTCGAATTTACTGTATTTAAACTTCAATCTTCTCTGAATCTCTCACGTACATTCATATCTGCTCATGGTGTATTCAAATGTAAACAAATGACGTCAAACATTATGAAATGGACAAAGTCCGACAATTATTTTAAAGACATTTTTATGTTTATACATTCTTTTTATAGATACAAATATTTAAGTAAATGATCTGTTTTATAATAAACAGTATTAAACAGCATTTACCTGCCTGAATGTTCGAGAAGTTTTCACAGAAAATATTCGTCCCTCGACAGATATGGATTTAACTGAACTTAAGAAATGAGCAGATATGAATGTACGTGAGAAAATCATGGAAAATTGTAGTTTAAAGACAGTAAAATCGACATTGCTAACCGAAACGAATAGGATACAGGTTCGATTACTGTCGGAGGGCCTATATTAATTTCTATATATATATATATATATATATAATGGACATTCAGGTCGGTAAATGGTAAAAGCTGTTTTATTATAAACAAATTTTACCTACATATTTATATATATAAAAAAAGAAATGAGTAGATGGAAATGAATATTCTGAGGTTGTAGATAGAAACAAAAAATGTCTTATATATATATATATATATATATATATATATATATATATATATATATATATAAAAGTATAGGATTGGTAGATACGGAATAAATTCAATAACCGATAGATAGATAAAAAATACTATTCTTAAAAAGAGTGCTCAATACAGAGTAGAGCAAATATAATTATTTATTCGAAAATTATAACATAAACATGATATAAAATCACTAAAAATAAAAAATAGCCATTTGTTTCAACACTTCTGGTGTCTTACCAAGTGATGGTGTTGAATATACATTCTACATTCAACACCATATATATATATATATATATATATATATATATATATAAATAAATTAAATAAAAATAAAATTCAATAATAGTGGATCAGTTTTACTATTTATATTATTAGGACTCACTTGGATTAATTACCCAGGGAGTTTTACCTTTATGATTATATATATATATATATATATATATATATATATATATATATATATATATATATATATAGTGTGTCGTGTCGATGTGTGCAGGTTTAGATAGATATAATGAAATGGTGATAGATGGAAATGAATATTCTGAGGTAGCCAGATAGATTGATAGATAGGTATGAACAGACAGAAATCGTGAGAGAAAGAGAGAGAGAGAGAGAGAGAGAGAGAGATGAGATGATAAAGAGAAAGAGAATGGCAGAAGATAAATGATTCGATTGATAAAGATAAAATAGAATGGATAGATAGATAGATGATAGATAGATAGATAGATATATATAGATAGATTGATAGATAGATAGATAGATAGATATGAGCAGATTTCGATAGATAGATAGATAGATAGATAGATAGATAGATGAATGGATAGAAGATAGATAGATAGATAGATAGATAGATAGATATGTGAGCAGATTAGCATATGAGATAGATAGATGAGCAGAGATAGATAGATAGATGAGCAGATTTCGATAGATAGATAGATAGATATGAGCAGATTTCGATAGATAGATATGAGCAGATTTCGATAGATAGATAGATAGATATGAGCAGATTTCGATAGATAGATAGATAGATATGAGCAGATTTCGATAGATAGATAGATAGATATGCGCAGATTTCGATAGATAGATAGATAGATATGAGCAGATTTCGATAGATAGATAGATCTGAACAGCATAAGATACCCAATAGCATAAACACTAAGATAAAAAGAAATACAAACTGATAGTTAATCTTAATTCAGCGACAGCCCAGCCAGCGCGTCACTTCCTGTCTACATATCGTGAAAACGAAAATAATCGAAGTATTTTCAACCACTTAATATCATTTATATGCACACCCAATTACGAGCAGATAGTTGCTAGCAAACACACTGACACACTCACGTTAAATTACCTATGTTCTGTCCCATTGCTGCATATATTAGAGAAATGATTAAACTTTCAGTACAAAATAAAATCTACTTCTTCCTGTGTACATAAACATTTATATATATATATATATATATATACCATGTTTAATCACATATAACGCAATATTTAAAGACCTAATTTTGAAGCTAATTTTAAGGTGGTTGCATCATACATGAGATATAAAATTAAGGTATACACTGCTCGCGTTTGCTACGTCGTTGACCAATATATATATATATATATATATATATATATAATTTAATGTAGTCGAAAAAGCCCCAGCTGTATTTAAAATAAACATGATTTTGATAAAACTGATGTATCCAATACTAATGCATGTAATAATCACATAGTATCGTATTATAAAATACAAACATAATAAATATGCATCTTTTCCATTGTATCGCGTTGCTAACTAGGCTTTGTCTTTTAGTTTTTTTAACTTGCCATAATTCCCCATGTATAATACGCATTTTTCCTAAAAAATAATAAGAGAGATTTTGGGTGCGTATTATGCACAGCTACAAAAAATCTTTAAAAAATTGCTATTTCATAGGTCGATTTCAGTTGCGAAATGACTACTCACCACAACCATACGACAATTTGACACTACCATTCGACGATTGCGACCCCATAAGGATGTCAAATACAATTATATGTACCTAACAATACTTAAAAATGTAAAATAAAATAAGAATTATCATAAAACTAAATTAGAATAATATTATTCTATGTTTAAAATCATTTTAAAAAATAAGAGTAGGAAACGCTATTCGCAATGAAATTGGAGAGGTACAATTTATAGGGTTTGATTACCAAACAAGGGGTGCGTATTATGCATGAGTAGAATCAGTTTCAAGCAGAATTTTAGGGGTACGTATTATGGATGAGGGCGTATTATACATGTGGAATTACGGTATTTAACTACTAGATGGGATAAACAAATAGAGGAAAATAGATTCGTCTATTGTCATTTGGCCTGTCAAAAATGAAAGCTGTGTGATACACGAAATATTTTATAATTTTTTTTTTATAAGTGAAAATTTAGCGGTCGATTTAGGGGCGCGAACTCACGTAACGTGATACGTGAGATCGTGCGTTACACGAATATATACGATAAACATACATATAGATACATACATACACACATATACACATACACACACACACACACACACACACACACACACACATATATATATATATATATATATATATATATATATATATATATATGTTTTAATTTCAAAGTAATAGATTAAATCTAATATGTCCACTAAGTAAAATACTTTTGTGTTATGTATCTCAAAATGAATCTAAATTGATTGGAATGAGTTTGTTTTTGAAATCGCTAAAATAAACACACACACACACACACACACACACACACACACACACATATATATATATATGATTATATGTAATATATTATATATATATATAACCTATATATATATATATATATAACCTATATATATTAAAACTAAAATAAAAGGTTCAAGAAAGATTTTTTATTTTTAAAATTCATTTTAAACCATAGATATAACTTTGCCGATATCTTTATATATATATATATATATATATATATATATATATATATATATGAAGAAAAGTATATGGAAAAACAAAAATCCGAATATGCAAATATGCTGTTTTAATGTTATTTCAATGTCGACGTCAGACGTTTCGATCTAGTAGACCTTCTTCAGGACATAGTTATTAAAACATAATTAACATTAGACGATATTCAAGTCAACATGAAAAGACGATAGACATAAGACAAATCAAAATAGAATAACTGAAATTCTTAAGATCAGCGTTCCGTTTCACAATATGATCACGTCGGCGTCACGTATATATATATATATATATATATAATTACGAGGATTTGAAAGAATCATAATTAAGTAATTCATCGAGTTTGATAGAAACCTCAACAGAATGCAGAAAGCACTGGACGGCCGTTTCGTCCTATATTTGGGACTTCATCAGCAGTGCGCATCCACTACTGAGAATTGAAACCCGAACAGTTACATTAATTTTTTCTCCTTATTTTTCATTTGTTCTTTTCTTTTTCTTTTCTTTCTCTCTTCATCTTTCCTATTTTGTTCCCCTCTCCCATTTTTTTTTTTTTTTTTTTTTTTTTTTAATTAACCCATTATGTTCCCCGGTATAAAACCTACAATAAAATTCTCTCACGCTCTCAGTCCTCTCTCACCATTTCATTCTCTCTCAATTTTTCATATCCTCTCTCTTTCCTCTCTCACATTCGCATTCACTCTTACTCTCCCTCTCAAAACTCTCTAGTTCATTCTTTCCATCTCTCTCGACCTGGATATCCTGGAGCAAGACGTCTGGTCGGGATGTTTTGAGAAGCGTGGCACCACCTTTTAATTGCTGTTGTTCCGCCGGTCCATTCTGACTCGGAGTGATAGCGCCAGACATGGGCAAGGGAAAACCCCACCAAACTGGGGTCAAAAGAATATGAAAGTATAAAAATAGATTTTTATCATAAAAATACCCGCAATATATTTTTGAAAAAAAATATCAGCAATACATTTTGAAAAAAAAAGTATTACCAACAATTCAGACAGTCGCGTTCCATGCGTAATACACGCATAGACGATCATGTATCTTTTGATATATGACTGACGAGGCAGTTTATTTTTCCCGTAGTAGGTTGCCATTTCTTTCTGCGGTAGACCAGTTGCCATCCAAAGCTATAGAATCCTGCTATTTACCCATAACAGGGTGGGGAGAAGAAGAGGATTCATACCTTTCTCAAGGGTATTAGCTCGTAAGTGAATGTAATGGATTCGACTGGAATTCGAACTCGGCTCTCCGATTCCTCAACACTAGCCGCTATCCATTACGCCACTATGTTTGAAAAAATACCTGCAATACACTTGACTTTGTACAGAATTTCTCCTTTCAAAAATACGTCAATGAAACTTTATCTACAAAGTGATTTCTTACGAAGAATATACATTCTATACATACATAAAAACTTGTCGGCTTTAAATAACCCATTGAGGTGTTGATATGCCGTAAAATAAAATAAAACAAACCAAACCAAACCAGACTCTCTACAAAAAAAAACATCTTTACAAAAATGTGTCAATGAAACCTGATGTAAGAACTGATTTCTTACAAAGAATACATATTCTATTCATACGAACCTATCCTAAAAATCTTGTCGGCATTAAATAACCCATTGAAGTGTTGATATACCGTAAAACAAAATAAACCAAACCAAACCATTTTCATCTCTCTAAGCAAGTTTTTTTTTTAACAACGTCTGTTTCTATTGTCCTTTTCCTATTTTCGAACAAGATTTTTTTACAGTGCGGTTCACTCTGTATAGGGCCCGGGAGACACTCAAGGTAGAAGGTTAGAGGGTAAGAGGCACAGATTATGCAGATATATTGGGAAGATAACGTTTAACCCTTGACTTGAACAGGTTAAGATTATAGTGATCAGGAAAACGTCATCTTGAGAGTCGTTTCCTCAGAGCAGTAGTTTGCGGGAAGAGGCTGCTAGAGTGGATAGCGAAAGATGCCTGCCAAAAGCTAAGCAAATTATTAAGAAAGAGGAAAATTCCGTTAGAAACAAAGATATAAAACGTACTAGCCTTTGACGTAATATCAGTCCTGCTATATAGCATTGAATGCAAGTGGATCTCCTCATAGAGGAAGAAAAGACTTAAAGCAAAAGAAATGTTGTTCTACAGAAGCACGCAGAGAGACCATGAGCCGAAAACATGACAAACTTTTAGACAAAATGGAAACAAGAAAAATATCAATATACTTATCACCAAGAAGAAACATTTGAAATTTCTAGGACATAGAATGAGGAAAGACGGCTTGGAAAATACGATACTCACACGAGATATTGAATGCAAATTGGACAGAGGAAAACAACGGATAACCTACCTTGCGAGTAGAGATATTAAATAAAAAAGGAAGTAGTCGGGAGCCGTGATCGCCTAAGTCATAAGTAGTTCTAAGCTTTTGAAAAATATTGTTTGGAAAATAAGTTAAAAGGAATTGTTATTCTATCTGTCACTTAGTATAATGTTATACGAAGAGATCGATTTGCTTTTTTACGTCTTATCAACCCTGTGCGTATTATTTATTTTAGATTGTAAGAATAATTCATTTTTGTGAGTGATATGGCTTTAATAATTTTGGGGTATTCTTCTTTGCTTCTAACGAAAACATATAACTTTATATATATATATATATATATATATATATATATATATATATATATACAGGGTGACCCAAAATAACGAGATTTTTTGAAGTTCGTATTGCCAGACATGAGCAAGTGGCAACACTGCGTGACAGTCACCTTGAGCAAGTAAACATTTCGCCATTTAGAATTCAAGATGAAATTCACAGTATCCCAGCTGAGATGTCAATGAGGAATCTCAACAGCAGATTTCAAGAATGCATTCGTACAGGAGGACGCCATCTACAGGACGTAATTTTAAAAAATTCCATCATTGTTTCTTAAATGGCATGTTTTAAGGTTTCAATTATTATGAATAAAATAGTTTTCTTCCATTACTCTTGGTTTTATTGGATTGTTAAAAGTTCCCATTTTTTGGGTTACCCTATATATATATATATATATATATATATATATATATATATATATATATATATATACACTAGTTGTAATGTTATAAAATAAGAAATTATACTCGTCAGGGAAAAATTTAGGTGCCTTGATTTGTGAATAAACAAACC